TCAATTTCGTTTTTATCAAGTCTTTCAAATGTATTCCCTCCTTGCTGTCAGCTGATTGCGACGTTGCCACATTAATCCTCAAGTCAGACAGAAATCCAATTATTGGTTTCTGTTTCTAATTAATACAGCTGTACTATGCTCAAAACTTACATTAGTTTTACATAAAAAATAAAATACTACTGTGTACTATCTATGGAAAAGTTTTGTTTCACAATTTCTACATTTTTTTCTCAGTTATGGGTAAAAAAAAGAGCCGCACCGTCCATCTTCGCCATATAAACCTATGTTAAAATGAACAATTTTCAACAACAATATCTCAAAATCTAGTTTCAATAAAATATGACGCACAGAGGGAGCACTGGGTAATACGCTATATAAATTTCAAGTACATCTGTGCATTTGAGTAAACCCGATATACCTCCTTAATCAAGAAAATATTGAGGAAAAGCGATTTCTCTTTTCATCTGTGACTCCCTCTATGTTTGTTATTATTAACTTTAGAACTACGGTAATTTGAGTTACATCGGCCTATTTTGACTCCAGAAACTTCTTGTTATAATNTGAATAAACCCGATATACCTCCTTAATCAAGAAAATATTGAGGAAAAGCGATTTCTCTTTTCATCTGTGACTCCCTCTATGTTTGTTATTATTAACTTTAGAACTAAGGTAATTTGAGTTACATCGGCCCATTTTGACTCCAGAAACTTCTTGTTATAATATAGCATTCGTCACAATTGTTTTGTTTAATTGATACTTGCATAGTTGCAAAGTAAGAATAAGTATTGTTTACCTGAGTCCTTCACTGATATTTTTTTCATGTGCCATTTGACCGGTTGTAGCACTCCCATAGCAAGAAAGTTCAAAAGCGATAAAATAGCTAAAATAGTTACTGTGCCCCTAAATCCACAATATTCTATGCAAAGTGCCATCACTGGTGAAAAAGTGATAGCGCCCAATACCGTCACTGCTTGGGCGATGCCCATTATAACATTGATCCTTTTATCGAAATAGCAATTGAATGCAGAGTAAGACGCTGGCATCATTAATCCAAAACCTAAACCTACAAAAGAAATAAATAAAATAAAAAAACTTAAACTGCTCTGTTCCAGGCGTTGGGTACTAGTGACAAGTAAAATATAGTTCACATTTTAGATTACATCCAATCCACACTTAAAACATGTCGGTAGATAAATATCCAAATTGTTTGATCATTTGACTTTTTTTATATATTTATTACATTGCCAACAGAAATCATTTACAGGACAATAATTTAAAAATAAATAAACAATAAAATGTTATATCCCAGAAATACTATTTTACAATATTTAAATTTAATATCTGCCATATAAATAACTTTTAAAAAAACTTTATTAACGGTAAACTAAAGCCAAATAATTGGATTTTTTTAAGTAAAATTGACTTTCATAAGTAGCACAAATAAGATTACAATAGCTTTAAGAATATCTATATAACCACTCTCCCGCAGGTAAAAGCTTTATTAAATGATGTTGAGAACAGTTATTCAGCATTAAATAGGCATTTATAAATCCAAAATAGGCGCAGCTTATAAAACCATTTTATAAAAGCTGTGCATATAATATTTATTCCACTAATTAGTGTTCTGTCGTTGCATTCTTAGAGCATTTGTAAAATATACTATAAAACCTTTATACAAAAAACATTGTCTTATAAAATAAATTTGCTGATATAATTGTCTCCAAAGAAATGGTTTATACCTACATTTTTTATAAAAGCTATTTTTCCCAACTTGAACGCGATGAATGTTGAATTAATGTTTCCAATATACAGTACAACAAAACTTTTTAGCATTATAATTATGCGTTTCTATACTAAATCGGTTTATTAATAATAAAACTAAAAACTTTGGGCTATTGCTGATTGCCGGCCATAGAAGATAGGTAGGTACTCAAGAGTTAATGTTTACCGATATGCACAATAAAATTAAATATGTATCTAGAAAATAAAAAACTACTTGCAACAAACCTTAGTACCTTTAAAAAAACTAAGCGCCTTTAAAATTAAGCAGATTTAGCAATAGTCTGTAATAATTTTTGAAAAATAATGTCACAATAAAAAAAATAAAGAATATGTACATAACAAGTTATTAAATATAATTCAATAGACATCCATTAAACTAATTATTTCATGATACATATATTATAATTGAATTTCTTTTTGACGTAATTCTGGTGTACAATATAGCTGACATCTTGTCCTAAGCATGTTTGAAAAATATGGCTGCTAGGAGGAAGCTTCTACCACAGTAACTATGAATCTGTTATAAAATAATTAAGATTTTAAATATTTTATATCGTATTTTGTAAAAGTAATTTGCTGTCTACTGTCAGTTTAAAAATTCTGGGTAAACTGCTTCCTGCTACAATTCCAATGGCCGCAACAGAACAGATAGTAAAGTAGATGTACGTAAGTATGATGGATAGATGCTATGTCCAGTATTTTAAAATGTTCTGAAAGAAGCTATGAAGATTTTGAATGATAAAACACTTTTAAATAATAGCACTGCTAGTAGAGTTTAGAAGAGACAAATATACGGAGTACTATCACAAAGTCACAAATTTGTTAATCATATGGGCAAATCAGCCGCTTATTGGACACAAACAACGAATACATTCTAGAAGAGACGTGAATGGATGTCTAAAGATGAAATCATCATCCGTTAGTGTTAATTGTAATTAATAATAATTAATAGTAGGTATTTAACTTTTAAAAACAACATGCAGTTTTATCGCCATATTATTATTATTAACACTAAAACTTTCTAATTCACAGATTTTTTTAGATTACGGAGAATATCTCCATATATATTTTTATGCCTTCGAAAGCTTTACTATATAGTAGTTTTATAAGTACAATATATATTGCTGCATTTCTCAAAAATAGCTTTTTAGTTGAGAATAAACTACTTAAACTATTCTGCTTACAGCTGTAATAGAACCCTTTTATAGGATCTTTTTTAAAGCTTGTTCTGATATTATTTAACTTAAGAAGTTAGAATTATTTATAATTTAGTCATATAGTCTATTTAAATGATAATGTTATACAACATTAATAGTGCAATACTGTATTACAGCTTTAAAAATTGACCGGTAAGTGTTTATAACATTATAAAAAACAAGGAAGCAGCTATTACGCTTTACACTTTTATAGAAGTTTTATTTACCACGTTTATAAGACTCTAAGAAAGCCTTTATAAAATTGTTGTATAATTTTACTATTAGAATATTCTAACAGCTTTTTTATATACCAAAATTGCTATAGGAGCAAATTAACACCTTATTAAGGCATTAAAAATCTAAAAAGCTACATTTGTTGCTAATAAAAAAAAACAGTTATATAACTTTAAGCGATGTAATAGTAGCATTTGTGTTAGTTCGGATGGCACACTGGTGAGAACAAATAAATTCGAAGCTACCTATTTTAAAGATAATGAGGTAATTCAAACAAAGTGTAAAATTTGGTTTTAAAAAATCTTATCAAATGGAGTCAAATAATGTTCCTCGATACCGGAAACCTAGTCATGGAAAAGATATCTAACTCCACAGATCAGACTCTTAACTGCTGATATTGCGGGAAATCGCTACTCTAATGACGTTAATACTAAACTAATAATTCATCAAATAATAAAAAAATATCGAAATGCTCACAAAATTAAACCACATGTTTCTCAATTTATATTATCTACGTTATATTCAAATAAAAAAGGTAAATCGTGTTATTGTCTGATATAATAATATTGCATTGTGATTTCAAATTATCTCTCCAGAAATACCTCGTGTGCTTTGTCATGTAATCCTGTAATTTATTCTTTTACCTTGCAAAACTCCATAGCAAATCACCATTTGCGTCAAATTAGAAATGAAAATAATACCAAAAGCACCTACACCAAATAGTGTCGCCCCTAATAATCCAACCTTTCTATAGCTGTATCTTTGCAGAAGGATGCTAGATGCTAAACCTAAAACAAAAATTAAACTGAAAATAAATCTGGGTATAAGCAGGATGTATTTTATGGCGAGGTTTTAATTTTAACTGCTGCCTATGTACCTATATCAAAATGAAACGCTTTGATTAATAAATTCAAACAAATTATAAATTCGTTCTTCCGACTTCATGGGGACATTTTTGTTAAAGAACTGGACATTTCTAGGGCATCACACCGATATGTCATCGTTTCGCTTCTTCGTTTCTTAATAAATCTTGTTTATTATACAACGTACTCAATCTCTTAAATTCGCTAACTATGACTACATTGATTATTATGAAATACGCCACTAACTGTCGCACATTATTCCATTTCTAAAAACACTCCGGTATAACTAAAACGTGAAAATAATAACACGTTTTTTCCATTTGCATGCATATGACCCGAAACGAAACGCCTAAGCTGGAAACTGATCTAGATCGAGAAAGGAAACTATGCATAATTGACAGCTTCTCTTTCTGTACGTTATAAGCAAATAGATATATGCGAATTATTCTCTGAAATTAAGCATTTGTAAAAATTGTGGTTAGATTTATTTATGAGACTCACTGGCCACTGTTTTGAAATTGGACTTACCTGTGAATGACTGGACAGTATTGAAAATGCCGTTAGATATTGTTGTTCCAGTAGTTTCATCTCCTATAGATGCCAGAAAGTTACCAAAAGTTAACCCAAAAGCTGTTTGAGGAGTTACAGTTACTAACTAAAATTACAAATTAATCTCATTTTAGATGTACATGTAAGATTTGTCTTGATGTAAATCATATCTACTCACTGTTTTCTTATATGGAAGTATCGAACAAAATTTGAGAGTCGGTATTCAAAGAAATTAAATTGTTATACGTACATTCATAATAGCTACAGATGCAGCTATGAGATAACCCCATCCTCCATCTGGAGGTACTAATTTATAGTTCATCTCCGTTTTATAAGAAATTTGTTGAGACGAAACTACCACAAATCCGCAAAAAACAGCATCAATCCTGACGACTGAATTAAATCATGTGTACTGACTTCTGAATACTGAATATTTTCATTTGTTAACAAGTCCTTACGCAAATATGATATAAGGAAAAGATCACGTACCAAGACGAACGTGTAAAAATACAAAGCCTTAGGTAAACCTAAGATTCAATTTAGAATTATAGTCGCATTTTGCTCCGTGACAAACAATACTGCTACCAGTACATTTTCATAAGACTTTAAACAGTAAATTCATAGATATGCCTAACATAAATAAAGTAGTTATATAATAACCATAGACAAACATTTATAAAGAGAAAAATAGCAAATACCTTTTCTCTTGTCTTTAATTTTAAAGCGAATGTAACAATAAAAAAAATTGACGAACATCTACAAAAAAGTTGATATTTTATTTACTTACGGTATAAATTTATTGGAAAGTAGTTTAAATATTTCGGAGGGTGAAATTATTATATGATTATTTTCATTTTTATTATTATGATAAATTATGCAATTTATATATACAGTGTGTTTCACTTAAAGTAGGAACACCTCCGTATTTAGGATTGCGTTGGTCTACTTTTTGATATTATATTTTTTGACATATTATCTTTTCTATGGCCTATTATCAATAAGAAAAGTTCCTCAAAAATTAAAAAACATATTAGGCATTTTTTAAGGAAAGATTATACCTAAATACGAAGTTTCATTATTATAGCTTTTACAGGGTGTTCACAAAATAGGTGCAAACTTCGAAAAATTTCCCTCATTGCAGAGTGTCCTGTATTAACACTGGAAAATATTTTGAAGGTATGTTTTCATAACATTATTAACCGAAGCTATATGCATATCCATGCAGTTTCATTAATTTCACTCATACAGAGTGCTCACAAAAAGACAGCCAAATTATATATTTTTTTTATTATACCAGAAATGAGTTTCACAACGAAATAATATTTAAATATTACTGTTTTTTATTAGTCCACCATCATTTGACATGCACTGTTCAATTCGGACGTTTTTCTAACCTTTTCCTGAGTGGCCTCTTTGGATTATCTTGTACAGAGTCCACAACTACAACAGTAGCAGCTTCGTTATCATTGTATCCCTTTAAAATTTATATTGCATATCTATATGAAACATTACCGATTCCGTAACATTTCACAAGATAATAGTTGTCTGTTACACCACCCTATACCTATCCAATGGAAACAAGCTCATGTCATACCTATTCCAAAAATTACTAACCCTTCAACACTATCTCACTTGCGTCCTATAAGCATTTTGCCTACTTCGAAAATTTTGGAAAGNATATTTTATTTACTTACGGTATAAATTTATTGGAAAGTAGTTTAAATATTTTGGAGGGTGAAATTATTATATGATTATTTTGATTTTTATTATTATGATAAATTATGAAATTTATATATACAGTGTGTTTCACTTAAAGTGGGAACACCTCCGTATTTAGGATTGCGTTGGTCTACTTTTTGATATTATATTTTTTGACATATTATCATTTCTATGGCCTATTATCAATAACAAAAGAAAGTTCCTCAATAAGAAAAGTTCCTCAAAAATTAAAAAACATATTAGGCATTTTTTAAAGAAAGATTATACCTAAATACGAAGTTTCATTATTATAGCTTTTACAGGGTGTTCACAAAATAGGTGCAAACTTTGAAAAATTTCACTCATTGCAGAGTGTCCTGTATTAACATTGGAAAATATTTTGAAGGTATGTTTTCATAACTTTATTAACCGAAGCTATATGCATATCTATGCAGTTTCATTAATTTCACTCATACAGGGTGCTCACAAAAAGACAGCCAAATTAAATTTTTTTTTTGTTATACGAGAAATGAGTTTCACAACGAAATAATATTTAAATATTACTGTCTATTAGTCCACCGACATTTGACATGCACCGTTCAATTCGGACGTTTACTTTTTAAAATTTGTGTATATTAATTTATCAATTAATTTGCATTATCTTTAGCTCAGTATCTACAATTTTGAGAAGAAACCACGCCATTAGTTATGAATATTTGTTTCGACAGTAAATAAAAAATTGTAATGAAAGAATCTGTTTTCAATCAGTTTTTCGCCCATAGATAAACAAAAGTCCAAACGACGACCATCATCTCCATTAAGCAATTTATGATTAAACACCGGTTTGAATGGATACATTTTGTTGTATACTAAAATTCTTTGAATATGAAGTCTGCTAATATCTATGTTTTCTGACCTTTTCCTGAGTGGCCTCTTTGGATTGTCTTGTACAGAGTTCACAACTACAATAGTAGCAGCTTCGTTATCATTGTATCCCTTTAAAATTTATATTGCATATCTATATGAAACATTACCGATTCCATAACATTTCACAAGATAATAGTTGTCTGTTACACCACCCTATACCTATCTAATGGAAACAAGCTCATGTCATACCTATTCCAAAAATTACTAACCCTTCAACACTATCTCACTTGCGTCCTATAAGCATTTTGCCTACTTCGAAAATTTTGGAAAGGGTTACACAATATATAGACACAATTAATAGACCATTTAAACAAGCATGAGATTATTCCACCAATTCACTCTGGATTTAAGCGAGCTGTACAACTACCTTACTGAAAGTGACGGATGATATTTTTGAAGCATTTGATAATGGCAAAACTAGTGCTCTTACTATTAGACTTTACCAAAGCATTTGATACGATTCAACATCAGTTGCTTATTGCAATATTTCATTTTATTGGATTAGATGAAAGTGCGATTAGTTTAATGTCTAGTTACACAGAAAATCGTACGCAAAGAGTAAAAATTGGAAATGCATTGTCAAATGTGCGCTTGCTTAAAATAGGTGTCCCTCAAGGATCTATTCTAGGACCCCTATTATTTTGTGTATATACCAGTAATCTCTGCAAAAGCTTGAAATATTGTAGTCCGCACATGTACACTGACGATACACAATCGCATTTATCTTTTGATAAAACTAACTGTGATGGGGCATTGAATAAAATTAATTCAGATCTTAAAATTGTCTCTCAAATATCAGAAGAACATTTCTTATTTTTGAATCCATCCGAGTCAAAGTTAATTTTATTTGGTATTAAATTAGCGATATCTGAAATCTCCGATAATTTTAAGGTTGTGGTTAATGAACTTAGGTCTGAGTTTTGACAATACATTTAGATTCTGTTCACAAGTTAGTAACTACATACAAAGATCATACATGGCTTTGAAACTGCTCTATCCACATAGAAATTATTTATCCGTAAGAATAAAAACGCTACTTTGCGAAACCCTCATCTTGTCAAATTTTTTATACTGTGCTCCTGTTTATTATCCATGTATTGAAGTCTTCTCATAAATTACAGGAACTGAAATGGTTAAATATGAATAATCGTCTGAGGTTACAAACTTTGAGCCTGTATCATCAAATAATTTGTACAAAAACTCCCTCGTATCTGTATAACAAAATTCGTTTTCGTACTGATGTACATAATATAAACATTAGAAATAAGCATAGAAGGTGGTGTAATCTTCACATAGAACTAGTTTCTACGACATTTACTTATAACATTTCAAAACTTTAAAACGCACTGCCAGATGACTTTAAAATATTGTTTCCAAGGAATTTTAAAACCAAAGTTTCAGAATACTTATTTAATAATAATCAGTGAGCAACTATATTCTTGCTAGTTTTAGGTTATCTTATATTGTCAAATTGCGTGTGTCAATATTTTAAGTTAGATAATTACTTACATTAGGCTATACTTTACTATAAACATGTATCTGATATACTAGGTAAGTGCATAATATCGAGAGATGGAGCTTGCTCTATCTGCTTGAGCACAGCCTAGTGACTTTCCTACTCTTTCATTACCAGTAGAACAGAACTAAACTAATTATGTTTTTACTTTGTATCTTTAAATGGAAAAAAATAAATGTATTATTATAAAGTAGCACCAGGGTTAGCATTGTTAATAAAAACTATTCGGTGAGCAGTTAATAAAAATAAATTTGTTGACTTTGTCATTGATAAGGAAATATCCATTCCATGCCGCAATACCATTATATGGTATTGCGGCATCTTTTTAATTGCAAAATGTGATTATTGTTATTTTCTGACTAAACCCCGTATTTAAGCATTTTTTTGAGTTCATGAACAATTTGGCACATTGCTTAAGGAAAATTTCACATTTTCACAAACTTTTTTGGAAGCCCTGCATGTTTTATTGCATATTTGATTACTGTCAATGGCTTCCCCCAATAAGCAAAACTTATCAAGAATAACTTTATCTCGTAAAATTATCAATAAAAGAGTTTACAAGAGTGCGGAACCCCATTCGAGGACACACTGTATATGCTTACTAAATGGTTATTAGATACTTAAGGAGTGAAAAATAAACCAAGTGTCACACCAGGTGATGTATTTCTATGTACGTTCTTTATTGAATTCATTGTTACATCTTTCAAGAGTTTTATATACAATAGAAATCGAATTAAATTCTATATCACCTTCTTCAAATTAATTTATCTCTATTTCCTCAATGATATGGAACAGAGGTTTCAGAACAGTGCTAAACCTCTCTCTATATTCTTGGTTACGTTCAAATTCCTTTACTACGAAAGACGGCCTGTCTTTCATTGCAAATTCTAAAAAGTTTTCCGGACACGAGACGACTATACTCGACACTGACTCGGGCAAATAGACGTTTGTACCATATAAGCCAGCTTCGACCAATGCGGGTAACGTGTATTCTTCTGCGCTAGCTAAGAAGTCATCTTTTGAGATTATCTCCTCTATTTTTAGATCGTACCTTGACAATTCATTTGTCAGGAAATTGTAATATAAATCTAAAAGGTATTCTATATTTTTGTTCAAGTAACTTGCAGTTGTACCCAAGTGCAGTAACAGAAGTACGTCGAAAACTGGTGGGGTGTACCTAGACAACTGAAAATCCAATAGCATGCATTCGTCTCTTTCGTTGAACATCATGTTGTTGCACCAGAGGTCGTCGTGGCAAACAGTGTTCCTGTACGTTCTTGACGGTCTTATATATTTTTTCAAACCGTTTTCAGAAAACACGTACTGTTTGATTTTTCTTGCAACCTCCTCGTTGTTGGTAAAATACCTACTTAGTTGTTCCAGACAACGGGTGGAGGTCTTGCACCATTTGTTTCTTACGTGGCCCTCTTGAAAGGAAAACGTTGCTTCAGTTAGTTCCTCGTGGAAATGTTCGTTTAGCCTGTACGGTTGCTCTTTGGTGCTCCTTGCCTCCTCGAATATTATAGAACTGGCGTGTAGTCTAGCTAAAGCGTTTAAAGCACCTACGCATTTTCTATGTCCTAGATATTCCATATTACAGACCTAAAAGCAAACGGTAAGTTTTAATCGGACTATATTATTATAAAAAAGGTATGTTCAGGGCAATAATTATGTTAATTCAACATTTTAGTTTTATTTCTGCAAAAGGTACTATTAAAAATGTATTTTCAAAAGAGACTAAACGTAGTTTTTTTACAGAATCGAAATTGGTAATGATTTTCATGAAACACTTTTTAGAAAGGGATGGAAACTTTACTGAATATGATGAATGAAAAAAATTATTTTTACGAACAAGGACATTCTATTTGTTTCTTTTTACACTTTCCACAAAATTTATGGGTTATTATTAATGTAATTTTATAAATCTAAATTTTGTCTCATGTCCTTAACGTCCAGTGAGTTTTTTCAATTTTTTTAGTTTTTCACTCAAAATAAATATATTTCTTAAAAAACGCCTTTTTCTTATTTTTCGACATAAGAAGAACTGCAAAATGAAATATTCTGTTAGTAGACTTTTGTTAGTGCTTAATTGCAATGGAATATTAAATTATGTTTGTACTAAATACACGTTTCCAAGCTATAAATGTAGATATTTTTATTTAACACCATGTACCTCTAAAATAAAGTATTTTCAAATGAATGCTAATAAAAAATTTATTTGTATTTTCACAAGCACTATTGGTGCTGCTAAACTTTTTACATTTTTTTCCTCCAAAATTTCTTGTGACAGTACTTTTAATAGATTAAAAACATAAGTGTTTCATAATGAAATGAAAATTAGTTGACATGGAGCTTGATATACATCGTATGTCATATGACATTTGAAATTATTTTCAGTTATCAAAGATTACTTATTGCTTGTTTCTTCTTCAAATTTGACCAAAATTGGTTAGCGTTAATTGGAATACTTCAATATTTATTTAAAAAAATGGATTAAATCGAGCAAAAAATACCTCTCTTTCTTATACAGAGTCTTCTGCAAACTCTATGACAAACTTTGACACATAGTAGCTGGATTAATTTCATATTTTAAGACTTTTTCTTATATGAACATAGGTCCGATGCGTTTTTGTTTAGAAGTTGCAAGCATTTTAAAAAATATAATTTCATATTTCAATCAAAGTAACCCTAATTATTATTTGTGTTTAAAGTTTAAACATTTGTTCACCATTATTAAGCAAATTAACAAATCTTAAGATTCCATCACTCGACGGATGAGATTTGGATCATTTTTTATCCGGTTAGTTGCATCCTGACTTCTTTCAAGTAACTGTTGACGGGTAGTGACTTCAACATGGTAGACAAGCTGCTTCATAGGTCCCCATAAATAAAAGTCCAAAGGATTTAGACTTGAACAACGCAATGGCCATGCTATTGGACCTTGTTGACCTATCCATTTATTCGGGAAATGATCAATTAACCAAACAGTTATTGTTCTCCCTCCATGTGGTGGTGCACCATCGTAAGTAATTGCATGCGGATTTTGTAACGCCCAGATATATTCATTATAATTATTAATTATGCCATCCCTAGTAAAACACGCTACATCAGACCACACGATAAGCGAAATGAGTCTATCATTTTGTGCACGTTGTTGAAGTAACCAGCGACTAAATGCGAATAGCCGAGGAGCATCTTCAACATATAGCACTTGTACCTTGTAACATATCTGGTTTCAATACACGTCTTACAAAATTCGTTTTGGAGCGAGGTTACCTTCTTCTCTCGAAGTCTACGAAATGGTGCACTAAAGACTGTATGGACAGGTTGATGTCTGTTTGGATATCTTCGTCGGTATTATCGGGCTGCTTGTCTGGCGTTCCCACATACGAAGGCAATATCTACACACTCTTTAGTTGTAAATAACTGCATTTTTTAATTAGCACTTAACTCTAAGTGTCAAATGAATAAACAAAATGACACAAATAGGTAATAATTATAGTTATAGCAACTATCATTTTTAATGATCAGGCTACTTTGATTGAAATATAATAAGTTATATTTTTTAAAATGATTATAACTTTTAAACAAAAACGCGTCAGACGTATATTCATATAAGACAAAATATTTGAAATTAACCCAGTTATCATCTGTTATATTTTGTCTTAGAGCTTGTAGAACACTCTGTATAGGGTTTACATTTAAAATGTATTTATATTTTGAAAGTTATTAGTATATTTTTACTAATACAAAAATTATGGAGAATAAATTTAGCAAAACTCCTTAGAATAAATCAATATTCACGCTAGACACCTTTAGATATATTTCAGTAAATATAGGTATACATGGTGAGTCATAATTAATTGTAAAAAAAGGAAACCATAGCTTCCTTAAACTAAAATAAAGCAGTTAATCGAATCTCAGTAATAAAATGCCCCTTAAAATGTTACTGAAAATTTTTTCAAAAGACTGTTGAAAGAAAAGTGTTGTTATTTATGTTTTATGTAAAAAAATAAGTTTATAATCATGTTTAATTACCCCAAAAATTACACTGTCCAGTTATCAGTGAAATATCTTTAAAAATTGCAAGGTTAACCTATTTTAAAAAAGTGAAACTAAAAAAAGTTTTTAAGGAAGGATTTTGGTAATAATGTACTCGTATATATTCTGTTACTTTACCCTGAAGAGGCTTTGGTAAATATTTTACACCTAATTATGAATCACGCTGTATATTTTCTTAATTTCAATATTATACACTGTAACACACTTTTCATGGAGCCATACCAGCAAAGCATTTATTCTAATACATGTATGTATAACTAAATGATATCCGGTTGCAAAATTAAAAAGGTGGTTCACTATAAAAAATATATTAGCGACAGTTTTATCTGAGAGTTAATACTTGCACCTTGAGTAACGTCTGTCAAGTTTAAATGAAATATATTTTAAAGTACCGAGATATGGGTGTCCAAACATTTCGATATTTTTAACTTTACGTAACCGTTCACTTAAAAACCACCAAGTTATAAAAATTTAAATAATGAGTCTATGTGTTCCTAGAATTTTCACATTTATTGGAAATATCCAAAATAAAAAATACATGCGTCCATTTCATCTAAACAACTTTCTAATACGGAACCTATCCTTACAAACTGTTTATTTAATAGTGCTCCAGAAATGGATATAATCATAGTTATTTTGTTGTTGTAATTTTGTTTCTTCTTTTGCTATGTATTATTTGATGTGACTACGCTAATATTTCTTTAATGGCTAGATAAAAAGGGCTTCTCGATAGCTTGGCAGCTTAATAACGAGCGTTCAAATAAAAACGTGGTCGAAGTTGGCTCTGATACATTGGACGTAGGGAGTAGCTTATAGCGACCAACTTAACCTCATTTCTCAACGAGCTGTATAGCAGCTGTCAGTTTCAATAACGTTAATGACTATATAACTTTATTTTAAAGAATAATCGTGATAACAATAACAAACAATTAAAGGAGCTGCGGAAAGTGTCCCCCTCCTTGTTATAACAATAAATTAAAGCAGCTGCTGAAAGTGTCCCCCTCCTTGTTCCAAGCACTTTTCACACCTGTTCCTCAAAGAATTAAAGACATTTTCTAAGATGCTCGGGGTATTGTTAATTTCACGAATCTTGTCTATAAGTCGAGCCTGCAGATGGTTTAAATCAGGAATAGGCAGTTCAAAAATAGTGTTTTTAAGGTAAGGCCACAAAAAGAAATCACACGGCGTAATATCACATGACCTCGGTGGAAATTCATGTTCAGCATTGAGACTTATTAGTCGATTTTGGAAAACTTCCCTCAACATATTCATCGTCTCGCCTGCCGTATGTGCCCTTGCGCCATCTTGTTGAAAGTAAAAGTTTGTAATTTCGTTTTCTTCCAGCTGGTTAACAAAAGGAGCGATAATTTCTTCTCTATACCTTTGCGCAGTAAGAGTACCATTAAAAAAAATAGGTCCATAAATCCTCCTTCGATTGAGAGCACACCAAACTCCAATTTTTTGAGCGTGTAGAGGGCCCTCGACAAAAAAGTTATCTGGTTTTTCAGAAGACCACATTCTCATATTCTGTGAGTTTACGTAACCACTTAAATGAAACCAGGCTTCATCAGAAAAAAAGGTGATATTATGAAGTTCACCGTAGTTGTTTAAAAACCATTCACAAAATACAGCCCGTCGCGGAAAATCAACTTCATGAAGTTCTTGCTGACAAGTTAAACGATAGGAGAACAAACGCAAATCTTTTTTTAACACTGTGTGGCAGGTACCGACTGATACTCCCACCATTTGTGATAAAACACGTACAGAAGTTCTTGGCGCATTTTCCATTATTTGTTGGACATTTTCTTTTAATTCTTCAGTCCGCTTTTTAGGTCGGCCGCTTCCTTCTTTTCTTGTTACACTGCCCGTTTCACGAAAAACATTAACACAACGCTGAACTGCACTTTGAAAAATTTTGTACTCAACAACGCCGGGAAATTGATTTTGAAATTCTATGAAACATTCCTCAATAGAATACTTCCATATTCCATCAATCTTGCGTCCATTTCTAAAGTAGGACTCTATGATAAACACTTTTTGTTCTTGAGAAAACACCATTTTAAACGCTTTTTAAAACGAAAATATTCAAATTGATAGCGGCGATATAGCGCTTTGACAGATGACGTTTAAGTTCATTTGCTATACGCTACGCCCTACGTCCAAATTTTCAGAACCAACTTGACCACGTTTTTATTTGAACGCTCGTTATAAAATAAAAAATAAATGCAAAAGCTCATCTAACTTTGACAGTTTTCAAAATAACAGTTGCGCAAAATTAAAAATGCTAAATATTTGGGTACCCATATTTTGAGCACTTTTAAAGATATTTTATTCAAATTTGGCACAAACAGGTTTCTTTACTCCATTACTGATTGGAGTTTGATTCTCCTGAATCACCCTGTATATTTTAGAAGTTGAAAACTTGTTTAATTTTAGAGCTGGACGCCTATTACTAATATCAAATTTGATTAAATCATAATTATTTCATACTGAAATGTGAAATAACTGGGTAGTTCCATGGAAAGTATATCTCGAAAACT